TTATTTAGGCCACCTGTGGCCTATATAAGCTAAACCCCCCTCCCTTACCTTATTTAGGCCATATGTGGCCCAAATAAGCACTCCCTATTTTAATTTGAGAGCTCAGAAAAGATTTAACCTTTCATTTTGATGATATTGCTCGCTTTATTTATTAGTATTAGGATTTCAAAACAACCACAAAAATTCAAAGTGTAATAAGCCATATTGTCTTGCTTTGAACCAAATGTATAAGTGAAAAGTTCTGTAAATTCTCTCCTGCAAGAGGGTATGTTGTCAGTTCACATTTGAAAAAGTGCCCCTTATCATTTGGAGGTTCCTTGAGTGCTTCCCTTTTGATTCTATTATTTAGGCTACTGTTCACTGAAGGATAGAAGTCAGCACTGTTAACTATTAAAAAGCAGGCCTGAAATTTCCCTAATAAAATTGCGAAAAATGAATAATTTGTCTTTATGGAAAAGCCTCACGTATCACTGACTGCTTCCTTGACTCAAATGTTGTTCCTGTATCTCCACATGCAGCAAGGATTCACTTCCCTGAAGGTGGAGGAGAACGAGTCGGGCTCCATCATTCATTTGGTAAGTCATGTTTTGCTTTGGGATATTTTTATCTGTCCCCGTGGTTTTATGCCCCCTGCTTAATTTAGCAAAATTTGATCATTTTTTGCATAATTTCAGATTGTTTTCCTTTATCATTCTTTGTTAAAATTAACAGAATCGCATAATTTCAAAATTTTTCTTTCTTAAAACAACGGGGACAGTTTTATCTTAGACTTAAAGGTGGAATCTTTAACTGGGTATATATTCTTATATTCCATAAAACTACATGTATTATGTATTGGCTTTAGCTACCCAGTGCTAAACTGATTCAGCCCGCAACGCCACTCACAGCGGCTGACTGTCTCCTGTGTTTTGACGTCACTCACAGCGGCTGACTGTCTCCTGTGTTTTGACGCCACTCACAGTGGCTGACTGTCTCCTGTGTTTTGACGCCACTCACAGTGGCTGACTGTCTCCTATGTTTTGACGCCACTCACAGCGGCTGACTGTCTCCTGTGTTTTGACGCCACTCACAGCGGCTGACTGTCTCCTGTGTTTTGACGCCACTCACAGCGGCTGACTGTCTCCTGTGTTTTGACGCCACTCACAGCGGCTGACTGTCTCCTGTGTTTTGACATCACCCAGAGCGGCTCTTTTCTATTGCTCTCTTTTCTTCGCCTCACTTTCCCCTCGTCTTTTTTCCCCCGACTGCTTACATTTCAACCCTTTTTTCTGGTTTCATTGAATCGTATTTTGTATTCTGAACATTTCTGTATGCCACACATAGGGTTTTATCAAATTAAGATATTTCTTTATTAATTTTGTGTGAGGCCACCCTCGGGGTCACGAAGCAGTCACAAATTATTTGCGTCCGGAGTCAAAATTAACTGCGAGTTGAATCAGTTCATTTCAAGCAACTTATAAATCAAGCCAAACTTGCCTAAAATAGCATTGGAATGGATTGTTGAAAATAATTGGGTGTCCACATATTTCTGCCTTAACCCCTTCGCGACCTAGATCTACGACGTATGCCATTCGTCATATATTCTTACACGGTGAACGAGCCAAGATGCTGCTGTGAGGTACGGCGTTCGTCATGCCTTGCGAAGTGCAAGGACCATGATGACGAACGCCGTTCGTCACAGGTTGTCTTCTGCATACTGCTTCATTCAATTAGCTGCGTTTCGAAAAACTATTCACAGATTCTTATTCAGGAATATTTTTTCTGCACAAAGAAATCTTTTCCCTTTTAGTTTTAGACATCATAGTATTTGTAAAACGGGTCTAATTATAATTATAGGTCTTATTTCGGATCTCAAGGATAAGACTAAGAGTAAGGCACAGGGCAATTTTGAAGCCGGAATTTCTAAGTAAAAAATTGTGTGTTGTTATTTGATGTGCAATACTTTGTACTCATTATTACATGTCATGTATACACTAGCTGTTTGTAGGACAGAAAAAAATAGAAAATGTAGGCCTATAGTATATCAGTACAGTATGTCCGACTAATGACACCTTCCCAACAATATCAGTACAGTATGTACAACCAATGGCACCTTCCCAACACCCATTTCTGTAGGACAAAATAAAAAAGAAAATGGATAGTATATCAGTACAGTACATGTATGTCCGACTAATGACACCTTCCCAACACAGTACAGTGCAGTATGTCCGACTAATGACACCTTCCCAAAAATATCAGTACAGTATGTCCGACTTATGACACCTTCCCAACACCCATTTTTTTCCCCTTCTGCCGGTCCCCAGATGAAGGAAGACTCTCTGATCCAGGTGGACGGGAGCTCCACACACATCATCTGTGACAGCGAGGATGTCAGACTCCGGCTCAGGGACGTCATGCTCAAGTGTCTCAAGCAACTCTGATGGAGATCTGCTTCCCCGCTCAACAGACACACGCGTGCCCACACACAGACATACACACACACACACACACATCATCTGTGACAGCGAGGATGTCAGACTCCGGCTCAGGCACGTCATTTAAGTGTCTCAAGCAGCTCTGATGGAGATCTGCTTCCCCGCTCAACACACACACACACAAACATACACGCACATCCCTCCCTTCCCCTCCTCCACACTCACAAGGACCTGCTGTTCTATTGCCGACTAACGAGGAATATGCATCGGGGGCTGTCTGGTTTGACTGTACTGTATGTATAGAAGAAGTGCAGTGGGGGAATGGGAAGTGGTCATTTGTACAGGTGATCTGATTGTCTTGGACAGTTGGCAATTGAATTTGAGGTTAGAAGTTCGATTGTGTAACCCTCCAACTCCTTTATGCACCACAACAGTCATAGCAGGTCATTTCCTGTTGCCGTACTGAGAGATGTAATTATCCAAAGTGACTCCCAACCCAGATCATGTTGCACACTAGGTGCAGTTCAAATTCAAAATGAGTGGGGGGAGCGCGCCTGTAGGTTACTTTTACCATGCCAGAATGAGAGAGAATGTGTATGGATGTGCAAAATGGCAAATGAATGTTCTTGTAAGTTCTATTGTCACCTTACTCATTTTCATTTTGTCAATATGAAATAAATCACTATTGTTACCGGAAGCACTTGTTTTCTACCTTGTCAATTTTCTGTGCAAAAAAAAAAGCTGAATACTGTTTTTAATACTATACACTATATTGAAATCTCATACCGCCTGTCATCTTGACTAGTGGCATTAGTAATTTAGTAGACTGGTTCTAGTACTAGTGGTACATAGTACATACTATTGGTACTGGTAATACTTGTAGTAGTAAAGTGATTGAGACTAGACTAGAGACCAGAGGAGACAAAGCGTGGCCAGTCTTGATGAAGTGAATGTGGTAGAAGTAGAATGTAATGTGTCAGTCAATGGCCCCCTAGGTAGTTAAGTTTTAAGTAGTAGACCATACGTTTTTTCAAAACCAGATTCTGGTCCATTCTGATTTGAGCGTTGAAACTTCATAATACGAAGGCCTCACACT